ACTGCATCTATAGGCTTAAGCCTGGTCATGATACTCAGATGGCTTATATGACGCATGTAAACCTTAAGCAATACATGTCTATAATTCGTTAATTCAAAAATAACGAATTGCATTATTATGTTGTATTAATTTCTTGTATGCCTCTTGTTCTTTGTAGATTATTATGTACATAAAAAAAAGTGGTGAATTTTCATACAACAATGCTAAAACAATAGCTGCAAAATTGCACTCAGGTTAATTATCATAGTTTAGCACACTACTATTTATGGGTTTTAAAAATTTATTTTTTTTCTACTGTTACATATTTTTATGTTTGTCCATGTAAACAAAATGATAGACGCTACACAGAATTCAAATGGAGCAAATACAAAGATTGCAGTTAAAGTTCTGAGTTAAACCTGTGCTTCCTCAAGGTATGAGAGAAACTGAAGTACATTCCAGTGGGTACATGACTCTAGGTGAAATAGGTTAAAGACTCAGACGTTGCACAACCTAATGTACATCCACTACAGTTTGAAATTGAGAGAAAGACAAATGAAGACAACACATGCAAACTACATGTCGATCAACCTTGATTGTGTTTCTGAGAAGGACCTTGCCAATGAGTGGGTATCACAATTGATTACAATTTTACACCAGGATTTTCTTAGGGGATCAGTTGCCGATATGGATAATAATGAGGACAGCGACACCCAATGAAGGAGACATAACAGAGGACATGAATACCGACTATGAGGAGTATACAGAGGATGAAGATGAGGAGTATGATGACAAGGAGATAGATAAGGCAATGAAAAACAATTGGCAAGATCTGTCATGGAGGAATATGAGGGGGCACAACATGATACGGTGCCCGATGTACTGAGATTGGCTCAGGAAGAAGTCTAGACATCGAGGTGTAACAATTACTCAGCAATGGGAGAGACGAAGCCATAGCCGACACTGTAACCAATTTGTTTCTGATGACGACAATGTGGAAGCTGCTGAGGGTCATAGTATAGACCAAGGTGGGGGAGACCACAAAGGCTGGACAAGTCTAGGAGACTTTGGCTAAGGGGATACCACAGGAAATATTCCTGAGAGGGCACAACTGGCAGCACTACAAACTCCACCAGGGCTTACTCAGATTTTTCGCCTAGTGAACTTGATAATGAGATACAACAATACCCTAAGCCCCCTTGTCACTCTCATTACTACTAGCCATTATTAGTTGGACCTTGTAACTCCCTCCATTGAAGTAATGTCAAATTCTAAATTGTCTTACATGTCTCTGAATTAATATATAAAGTAGCTTTAATTTTTTTTTAAGATAAATGTAGGTAATAAAATACTATACACTTAATCTATATTTTTCCATGTTTTCTGGAAAAAAAATTTGAGATTTTTGACCAACTTTTTTTTAAAAATTCTACCGGACCAAACCAGCCTAGTTCCATAACTAATCGAAATCGGCCCATGTTCGGATGATCAGGCTGGTCGATCTTTCGAACATTGAGCCAAAGGCTGTGTGGTCGCTTAACAATTAAGAAATGGTTTGACCATCAAAAAATAAAAGACTTTGACAAAAACCTAAACCTCAAACCTATTGGTAAAAAGACTTTTTTATGATTAAAATACCCCTAGCCTTATTATAATGTATTTTGTACGCATCCTTTTTTGCCAAGTGTTATGGGTTGGTAGAGAAAGCTATGGTGCTCCAATCTCTCTCTTATTACGCATAATTCTTCTTATCTTTCTATAAATTTAAGATGTATTGGTTGCAAGGGAGCATCCAAAAGCCTTGCAAGTTGCTTTAAGATAAGCAATTGTTGAGCCCAAACTATGTTGCTATTAATCCCTTCATGCTCATGAATTTCCAACAATGCATTGACATGCTTTTGATGCTCTAAATGTATTGACGTATTTATTCTCTACAAGCCCTTGTTGGAGCATATTGATGAGTTCATTTCATACTTCATATTTTTTCATTTTGTTATGATTTATGATTAAGGCAAAACATGAAATAGATGATGATAGATTAGACATTTGATTCTAGGTTTTAAGGAGCCATTAGTTGTAGATATCAGCTATTACTTCTTATGTGATTTGATTATAAGCATGTGAAGTGTTTGATTTATTTTCTAGTAAGGTTTAAAAAGAGATTTTGATCCAAATATGTTTTTATATTAATTCATATCAGTAGCCACTTTAAATTGATCCTTACATTTGGTATCAAAGCTTTGGACTTTGAATGGCTACTACAAAAATTATTCGTTCCAATTTGGTGACGATAGAGAAATTAGATGGCTTCAACTTTTCGATTTGGAAAAGTAAACTGTTTTTGTTGCTCTATACTATAGAATTGCTATATGTAATTAATGAAAAAAAACCAGCTGAACATGATGATGATACAACTCTTAGAGATAGACAAATGTTCATTAAGTAGGAAAATGATGATTTCACATATAGATGTATTATTCTAAATTGCCTTAATGATAGACTACATAAAGTATTAAATATTATAATAATTCTAAAGACTTGTGGGCTACTATTAAAAAAGACACACCCATGATAACTATGTAGCTAAGTGTGAATTGTGATATAATATGTATAAGATGAAGGAAAATCAATTGGTATTTGAATATTTTGACAATAAATACATAATGACTTTGGTGAATCTATAAGTGAACATCAACAACTTATGAAGATTATAGAAATCTCTTTAACTCATAAAAGTATTTAAGCAAAATTTGCGTCATAATGAGACTGTCCATACTTTAGATAATTTAAGAGAAGACTTAAGGATGAAAGAAAATGGTAGAGTTAGGGAGAAGAATGAAAAGGGATAGAAACCAAGCCTATTTAGCAATGACTAACAAGAAGGCAAAATCTAAAATGATATTTAAAAAGCCTCATTAAGGACAAACTTCTTTGAAATTTAAAAAATATGGTAATTATTATAAAAATGGTCATATTGCCAAATATTGCAAGGAACCCAAGAAGAAGAATGCTGGACATACGAGTGACTAATGATTTTACGTTTATGGTAGAAGAATCCATGATGGTGAGTTCCTTCGAAGAGTGGTGGGTTGACTCGGAAGCTACTCGGCACGTTGCCAACACCAAAACCAATATAGTAGACTTTAATGAAAAGAGTGACGATGCGGAAAACTTTACATTGGCAACTCGTCTAAAAATTGAGTGGTTTATTCATATTGTGCTTGTGTTTTGGCTTGTGTTTGGTTTGCTAATTTTACTATTTTTTCAAATTTCTCTATATGAGTTTCTCAATTAGTTGTCCAACAAAAGGTCTGGCAGCGTAGGGAGATAAATTGTTGCAGTAAATACGTGTTTATGCTTGACACATGCATGACTTGGATATGAACAATTATGTATGTAAAACCACCTCTACCGTCATACGACATCGTGTCGCGGGCGCACAAGAGAGAGAGATGGAGATTTGATCAAATGAAACCAAGAAAAGTTGTTTGTAAGTGGGGCACAAGTTAAATGTGTTAAAAAAATACATTTTAAAAATATTTTTGTAAAAATAAGGGTTTAATTTTCTTTTTTTTTTCTACCTTATTTAGAATGTATTTTAAAAAAAAACTAATATTTTTAGCAGAAAAAAAAAAAGAGTCAAATAAAGAGGAACAAGTGTCCATTGAGAGACACCACTTGGTCATTCTCTCTACAAATGTCTCTCTCATTTTTCTTTCAATGGCTACATATGGAAAAGGGTTTTGAGAAAGTTCAATACACATGAGAAAGAATTTTGGAGAGGCTAAGGCACCTTGCACAAGTTTCTCTCTCTAAAACTCCTTTCTCTCTCTTAAGCTTTCTCATTTTTCTTTCAATGGCTACATATGGAAAAGGGTTTTGAGGAGGTTCAATACACACAAGAGAATTTTGGAGAGGCTAAGGCACCTTACACAAGTTTCTCTCTTTAAAACTCCTTTCTCTCTCTTAAGCTTCCTTTAGTGTCACAATATAAATTACAACACCGTATTGCCTCCCATTCTCTCCGCAGTATTTGCTAACCATTGTTTTGTAGCAAACATATCTTCCCTATTATGCTATGTGTTCATGGAGAATACATTCAAGTCCCTCTCTAAAAAAAGCTACAAAATTGGGCTTGCAAATCTTCATGCATTTGTTGAGTTTGGTCCAAATTTTTATTAATACTTTGCATGAAAAATAGTACTTAAAAGTTTGATAAGATTTGTATGAGCAAAGCTTTTTATGATTCCCCTAATGCGTAAACTTTATATATTTCTCTATATCCAAATGTCTATTTTGAATGGACAGTGGCTCTAATCACAATGTCACATCTCTACACTATTTTATTTTTAATAACCAAAATACCCCTAAAAGTATTGGAAACAAAATATTGGAAATCTACATCTCGAATATTGTTTAAGACTCCTCTCTTAATCCAACACCTGTAAAAAAAATATTGGAAACATACTCCCAATAAAATATAATGACCAAAATGCCCCTAAAAGTTTCAAAGGTGTTTTGGTTATTATATTTTATTTAAAATATTTTTTTATTTCTTATTTAGAAGAGCCCCATTGAGATGATAGTATGTACCAAATTTCATATTTATATAATTTATATAAAAAAACTAAAAATCGAATACTATGAGGTGTCAAATTATCAAACGGTCAATAGCTTACTTGATCTTAGATTAGACGGCTGGACGGAAAGAGGAAGTATATATTTTTTATAAAGTAGGAGAAGTATAGAAACATTTCCCTTATTTTTAGTTTGTTGGAGTGATTTATATTGGATCTTAATGGGTACATACTTGGTGGAGATTACATTGGAGGTTATTTAGATGAAGTTTACAATGGTTGCAATCGATTTTGGGCTTTGATTTTTTTGTGGATGGCAAAATTGGTGATCTTTGTGCATCTTTTTGAGTTCTAAAATTTAGAGCAAACTTTTATGACTGTTTTGATAGAGTTGCATGTCATATATTTGTTGATTTTGTGATCGTGTTCAAAACCCATTTCGCATATCAGCTAACTCATAGGAACCTCATCCAACTTATAATATAGGCAGAAACATTCAAATTGTTCTTTGTTGTTTTCAAATCAGAAAGCGTGGGTTTCTGCTTCAGAAAAATAAGCAACTCACAAAGAAAAATATAAAGATACAAATGACACCCATAAATTGAATAATAGGCACACCCAAGGAAAAGAAATCAAGCAAACAGATGATGGAAACACAGAACCTTTCACCATTCACTTCTTCAAAACACTGCAGCAAAGGGGGTGGAACAGTCGGAATAAGTCCCCCAAGCAATAACCAAAAATTGTAAATAAAAACAAAACATAGGAAAAAGCAAATGATCGAGCACAAAATTTTACAGTAATTAGAAATTTCGAACACCAAAACAACTGAGAAAGAGTCGGAAACAATATGCAGGTAGTAGTAGTATGCAACCACAACCAGCTCAGAACTCAAGACAACTATGGTAAGTATATTCCCTATATAGATGAAAGGATAGAATTATCAGTAAGAGAACACTATATAGAAATTCCGTCTACTCCGAAGAATGCCAAGCATAGAATACCACTAGCAAATCCTAGGCCCTGTTAAGACCGCCCAAACACTCCACCAAAGATTCGAGCTATTTCAAGCGTGGAAAAACATGCTCATTTCTATATAGTTGTGTTTTGGTGCCATTTTCTTTATAAGTAGGGTATAGAAAGGCCTGCACTGCTGAAAAGGGAAGTGGAACATATGGGTGGCTGGGGAAGCAGGCAAGATTTGTTTTTTAATAAATGGTCCACAAAATGGGGACCTAATTTTTCTTTATATCTACAAAGAAAGAGTCTATTATATACGTTATTTGTATAATCATAACACAGAAACAGGCCATGCATCATCTGTGACCTTTGGTCAAACGTATGCAATGGACTCTAGGAATAGCTTACCGACCTATATGTGAGTGTAGACACATACACAATCCAGTTCCAGATATAAAAAAACTCCAACTGTTAATTTCTCAATTCTTACACTCAAGGGACAAAGAAGGGGAAACCTTATATGCAAGAAAAAATGCTGTATCTTACTAGAAACACGTGTGGCTATCTTATGGAAATAGAACTGGAAATGTTAATTGAGAGTATAGTTCTATATTCATTGTATCGTTCACTTTATTTGTATAATTTGCCTCGTGGGTTTCGGTTGAAAAGATTAATGTCTAGACCACCAGGAAACTGGTGTCTCATCTATGTTACAAATGTGTCCATGACACTAGCATGAAAGCTATATCATTATCAACTCGAGCAATAGCAGGTGTTTTAACATAATTGCATCTATGTATTCAATCAAAAATATGAAAAATAATAATATATGTTTACGTGCCTCAAATCTTTTTTTGCCTAAAATATTTGTACTTGCCCATATTATATGAGTAAATAAGGCATTTCAAAGATGAGACTATTAGTTTCTTTGGTAGTTAATAGTAGTAGGAAGGAACTCACTTGTACAAGTATGCAGCTATCCCCAGAATTATACACAGCAAAATAATATCAATGCAGAAGTTCCGACTGGACCGTAGCTGAAAAAAAACACATAATCAACCCTCTGAAACTTCTTTTGATAATAGCAGAAACCTCAACCACATACGAATCGATCATGTCTGGCATAGATGAAACTTTACCTTAGTGACTGTGTCCTTTAGTCTCACATTTGTATTCTTAAGGTCAGATGTTGCCCTGTCAACCTGTAACAAGACAAACAGGAAGTTAATTATGCAATATGAAGGATGTTGACAAGGTATGAATACAATGTAAAGAAAGCATCAGATAATGTTCAGCATCTTTGGTGTCTTTCGTGATTAATCACTAGCTATTCAAAATCTACCAAGGAAAAAGGAAGATCTTACCTTGGTGTCAATCTCATCAATTAAAGGCACTTGCCTGTCCAGCTCCTGAACAGAAATAAATAGAACTGCAGTCAACACTAGTGTTAATCATTATATACCAGAGCCGAGCTACATAGGGCAAGAATGACACCGACCTCATTCATGTCATGGGCCATATTCTTCAGTGTATCAAGTCCATCTGCAATAGCATCCAAACCTTGATCCTGCAATTATTTTATACACTTGTTTTCTTTAATCATTCGATAAATAAACTTCAGTCATGCTTAGGGCAATACATGTTGCCATTATGCTCATAAATTTCTTTTATTAGTTAAAAGAAGGCCTCCTCATGTCAGTTGGCCATATTCTTGTGAGCATGCATTGATTTGCTGAAAAAATAATCAAATCAGCAAAACAAGGTATGAAGGCAGAAGGAAACCATGTGCTTCAAAGTACAAAAGTATCTATGTAAAGGTTCATAACTTTTGTTTTTTAAACAAGTGATGTACTACAAAAGAATCAAATCATACTGCAATGAAAAGTTAAAAAAAAAAAAGGTCCAAGACATTGGAAGGAGTGCCATAACAAGGCCTTCTCAATTCTCAGAGGTGATAAAATTCCAGAACATTGTTAAAGATCAGATTTGAGACTGATATTTCTTGGGCTTCATAGGATTAATGCTCTGGTCCTCCTTAGATATTGGAGAACAGTGGAGTGCTCAAATCAGAGGCCATGCGTTTGTTGGATGCTTCACCCACTGATCTACTGCAATTGCATTTCATGACAGTTCATCAGAAACATACATGGGTCCTACAAAGACACGCAGCTTGACTACAATAGAAGCTCCAATACTCTCTAACTTGCCCCAGAGAGTGTTCTGCACTATTCCTCATATATAAAGACGCATTCACATATAGGATAACTGGTTGTGTAGAAGAGATTTCTCAGCCTTAGTAACATGATGGATTTTACCATTCACCATGTCTTCAGTGAATCGAACAGTGAAACTAGGAATGGGCCCTAGGTCTACGTGGTCAGGGTGGAGGAAACACAATGCAACATCAAGGGTTCCATTCCTACCCCGTTAAAAAGACAAGAAAAAAAAACAGGAAAAGAAAAGGAAACTGATCAGTTGGCCAGGGGAGTGGCGAAAGATGCACCCATGCATGGGGAGTCAAAAGAAAAAGAATCTGATCAGTTGGCCAAAAGAGTTAGAGAAGATGAACCCATGCATTTGGGAGTCTTTCTCACTAATCTAGTCTGGTATTTGTCATATTCTATAGTCTTTGTTGTTGATTTTATGCCTCTATTTATTTGTATTTTAAAAAACAAAATGTTGGAAGATAAGCTCGTACATTGGAATACAACTTGTTAATATTTCTCATTTGTTCCACAAAAGACTAATTATTATTAAACCTTTGAGGCAACAATGAAGTGATATGCACACATCAACATCAATTCTGCCAATTATGGGACGAACAAAGAGTCCAGTGAATATAAATATTTGAATTTAAATGTAAGGTTTTCACTACATGGATAATATGACTTTCCCCCACTGCATTTCATATAATTTAGATATATATCATTATTTCACCCAAATTGCATTCCTTTCACCTGAAAAGCTGCTACCAAATTATAAGAGTCATCCCTAAAGGTTGGGATGGACCAACTTAACAAAAATAAGTATAATAATGTGTTGTATCTGTGCGTATGGATGTATGTGTGCAAACACACAAGAGGAAAGATACCTCAATCTTAACAACTACATCTTAACCCAAAAAAAAGAAGAATGGCTTCCAACATATGAGCCCTAGATCAGACTTTCCTACTCTTATATTTTAAAGAGATTTTCATACTAACAGATTGTGATTTCTATACCTATGAGACAATCCAGTGTGTTGTCATACCAGGAATCAATTCTGTTGCTGAAGCAGGCTTGTCCAAGGAGAGTCCCCAGAGGAAAAGTACATGTAAACACTGATGTGATTATCTCCAAGAGAGTTCAGTCAATAGAGAGACAATGTTGCACAATTACTTACATTACATTAAAAAAAAATAGAGTTGAAGTGAGGAGAAATGCTTGACTTTCAACCTATTAACTTGGTGGTTTGGCATGTATAAAGTTCTAGCTAAGGTTCTCGCCATATAGACAATTGAGTTCCTTTCCCAATAATATCCGTCTCAATGGTGCTTAGTGGAAGGGAAATGAGATCATGTACGCAGCACCGGTAGAACATGGATGCAGGAACTATGTGTTGGCTTTAGGGTCCTATAAAGCCATTATTACAGAGATTAGGGTCTTACGTCACCTAAAACATTATTATCCATGGCCAAAGGTCACTCAAACAGATTCACTGCAGCCAAAGGTAGTGGGTTCGTACTTACTGCACTCAAAATGCGAAAGGCCTGAAAATGCGGTGAAATTAGCATCCCACAGCCAAAGAGTTAAACCATGGCCAAAGATCGAGACAGTCTGCTTGACCACCACCAATAATTGGGTTTCTGTTAATCGCAGTCAAAGGAAACAAAACCCTTTTTATGGGTCATTTGGAGCCCAGAGTATACACACATGTTTTGCATACCCCCAGGAATGGGACGCTGAATCAAGTTTGGCACATTCCCCGCCCCTCCCATTGAAAAGCAATTTACCTGTATATAAGAAAAGGTCATAAATAGTTTGTGAAATTAAAAAACTGTCATTTGCATATCACATTTTTGGATATGCAACGCAAAGTACATTGGCACTCGCCCGTTCTTCCTTCACCCTCTCTCTTAAAACCCATCTGTCTTTCCATCTCTCTCCTCCATTGAAGCACCGAACCTCTATCTCGCTCCACCATTGAAGCACTGAACAACCTTCTTACTATGCAAAGACAAAAAGAATTTCCTCAATTGTTGATCAAGCTCGAACCTCATGATTTTCTTCCATATTTGACATAACTTTTGCAGGTATATAAAAAGCCTTCCTTTCTATTTCTTGTTTTCACTATTTTCCTTTTTTTTTGTTATTATCCGCTCTCTTACAGATGTAAAAACCCCATATTTACTTCTTTTTGCTATTACTCTCCTTTTCCTATAAAACCCTTATAGGTTTCTTTTTATTTTTATTTTAAAACATTTATTTCCTTCTTTGTTAGGGTTTGGATTTTGTTTGGAATATGTTTTTTTTCTTTTTTTGCATTTCCCAGTACTCGTAACTGATTCTGAATCAATCATCTCCATTCAGTTCTTTCTGCTCGCAAAAAACATGCATGTTTAAAACAATAAACATGTCTTTTTCTTCACTAGAAAAAAAACAAGGAGAAAAAAAAAAAAGAGAGTTGTACTAGAACCCAATCCAATTTTTTTTCTTGTCTAATAGAACCTCCAATCAGACATCAATTTTCTTTTTGTTTAAAAAACAGAAGTCCATTTTTTTCTTTCATTAATCTTTCTTTTTGCAGTATACCCATATGTCTTGATTGTAATTGGATGGTTCGCTATTATGATAAAAATGAATATTGGTTGCTTTTTAGTTATTAAAATTTGATAATGAAATCAGTGTTTAAGGCTTTCGAGTGGCTGGCAAATGGGGAAGGGACGCGGGCTTTCTCTACTCTTTGGCTCTAAGCGCTTGGCTTTTGAAGGTTGCCGAATCCTTACGATGGCTTAATTTCCCTATTTCAGTTGGTTCCTTGGGGGAGACAGATGAGTTTAGTGAATGACCGTTGTTCTAAATGACCATATATGAATATGACACGGGAAGACGAGACTAAAGAGGAATCGAGCATAGACCAAAGGAGAGGCGGTGGAGTGAAAGCCTATAGTTGGGATTGATTATAATCCTCTGATTCTATTGTAATATCTTTTTTCTTTTTTTGATTTTCTTTTTTATTTTTTTGGGGGAGGGGGGGGTGGGGTGGGGTGGGGGGAGGTTGGTTGGTGCTCTGTCCATCTGGAAATGATGTTACTAAATTCGAACAATTTTGATGGATTCATTGGCTATTGCCTTGGTAGAGTTTAGATGCCGGATTTCATGTATGTGATCCAATAGCTGATTTGGTTGTTTTGTTTTTATCTTTAATATGGTAGTGATTATAAAAATTTAATGCCTTCATTTTAAAAATTGTAAAATTGTTGGCCACTAACATGAGAAATGATTACCCTTCCAAATCAAGGCAGAAATTCTAGAATATATGTAAATAAAAGAAAAAAGGCCAAATTAAGCAACATTTTTTTTTATTAAAAAATATTACCTAGAAGAGTATATTTTGAATCCAAAAAAAGGTAAACATAAAAAACATGTTTCAACCTGAAATTAGAATGAGACTACAAACCCAGGTTTTACAAGCAAATGACCCACATTAAAATTGAGTAATTTCGAAATCACTTTCTCGATTACAGTTATAGCAACAGCTCTAGGAAGGAAGACCTTGCAGCAAAGTGAAAATCACTAAGTGCAAACATCACTCTATGTGCTTCATGAACGTGGTAATCACCGGATCTTCGAACTCGAGCATCTTTGCAAAACACAGTAGCACCAAAAAGGGCTTTCAAACTCTCATTTTTTTTAAACAGTTATGAATGTGCTTCAACTGTGACCCCAGACATAAGATGCTCTTGTTGCCTTCAAGGTATTGATCGCCCTCGAACAAGTAACTTTATGGTGCAATGGAGCCCAAACAAGTATACCTCCAGGATACAATTGAACTAAGTGAAGCACTAGTTAGAGCCTCCTCAGAGTTGCACTCTCTGAGATGCTTCTGAAGAATAAAGCGGGCCTGATTTTCCTCTTTTGGCTGGGTTTGGACTGGGACTTGATTTCAAACTCAAGGAAACAAATTTCATGAGAAATGGTTCAGAAACCAGCTTTCTCAGATAATGGTGGTAAAAAATCATAGAGATGGAGTTTCGCTCTAAAGGCTTCAAAAGATCCCTTTTCAACTTGAAATTTGGGGTATTTATAGAGACCTCAAAACGACAGTGGATCTAATGAGGTAGTGAAGCACGTCAAAGTGGTTGAAGGAAGGAGACATTTTCAAATGTCACGAACTAAAGCTATAAAAGTTAGGTGGCAGTCAATGAGCTTAACCACGGTCAAAACTCGAACTCACTCTGTTAAAGACGATCAAAAGGTGTAAACAGAGTTTGTGCTTTTAACTGCTTGAGTAAGTTTGTGTGGGAAAGTTTGAATAAACCAAATTGGAAATAGGCCCAAATTTAGTCACTAACATTGTAGGCTCGTACTAAACTTATGTGTTGATCAGACACAAAAGTTGAAGACCTTCGAGGTTTGCTTCTCAAATTCCTAAAACACGATTAAGTTGGCTTGAAACACCAATCAAAACTAACACTCTAGGAACTGGGTGAGCATGTGCCTTGATTAAGAAATGTCTATTATGTAATTGATTTATTTTTCTTTATGTTTACAACTTTGACTTTTAATCAGGTACAAAAGATAGCTGATGTAGGGATTTGACGAATAAAATAGAAAATTAACAAATTTCAAGTAAAACACAAGCACAAATTTGAACAACCTTGGGTTTTCCTCCCCAAACCCTAACTAGGGCTTCAAAGCTAAAAGATTCCTTATTTTTTAATGGGAAAAGTTTATATAAGGTTGCAACCTTAAAGTGCAGAATTAAAGATGCACCTCAAAAGTCCATTGGAAAAGGTTGTCCTAATATTGAAAAACCCTCTAATTGATCATCTCCAAATCGAGATGTATGAATATGAAAAAAAAGAAGGGATTTTGAGTCCCAGAAATAGTGCAGCTTGCAATACATTATCTAGACCGTCCATTTTCAAGTTTTTCATGTGTTTATAGATATACTTGATATTAACCATTTTTTTTAGTTTAAAACTTTAAAATTAGATATGAAAATAGATTTTGAGATAATCCTAAGATATTTTTACTCCAAAATTACATGTTATGATAAAATTTGGAGGTGCGCCTTAATTGGATTATTTAAGGTTGCAACCTTATAGAAACCACACCCTTTTTTTATTTCGAAATCGTGTGCATCCCCCTTAGACCTCCACACCTCTTTTATAACTTAATTGGAGAATAAAGGTTCATAACAGCCTTCAACCAATGTTTGAAAAGTCGCCCAATCGACTGCCTAGGCAGGAAATTTGGAAAAATGACTAGGCGATGACTAGGGGGGACTGTACAACATCCTGTGTCTAGGTGCCCGCCTAAGGGGCCAAGGCAACGCCTAAGCAATACAGCCTGGGCGCCGCCTCGTGACAACTTGCAAAAAGGCAAAAAAGGGTCTCGGCAAGGGTAAAAACAACTCATTTTTCCCCCCTAAAAAGGGAAGAAGAGAGTTTAGGGGGTTATTTCAAACCTCCAAAACCAAAACCATGCCTTTTAGGAAGAGAAAAACTCCGCAAAAACCACTCTTTTGTGATCTTCACAAACAAAGGCAATAGTTTGTGGGTGGATTAAGAGCTTCTAGTAGTTGATTTTGAGGACTTTTGGCAACACAATAGACGACGTTTGCACTGACATCAATTTGATTTTGATCAAAGTATTATCATATTTGAAAAAGGGTTTTGATTTGATTTTGCTACAACGTATTGTGCTGTGAATCATTTGTTTTTTCTTTTACTTTTTTTTCTTTTACGATATATTTACATGTTTGTAGTTGAAAGATGGATTTTTTTTTGTGATTAATGGAATTTTTCCTCATTCGAACGATGAAATCAGGCACATATCGTATTCTTTTATGAATAGTTGGATTCCTTTTTTCTACAATGTGTCATGCTTTGATATTCTATTATTTTTGTTTTACTTTATTTGATAAATTATTGATTAGGTGATATTTTAATGAGTTAAGTCTCATGTGAAAGTGAATCTAAGATCTTATATATTCATTTAAGTCTTACTGGTTTAAAACTAACATCTTAATGATATCATATAGATATTAAATTCTTAATTATATGATATCTTATTGAGTTAAGACTTACTGTAAAACTAACATAGAATCATCTGAATCTTATACATTCAACCAAAACGCCTAGGCAGATACCTACGCTTTCTTGAACACTGCCTTCAATAAAATAAGATTGACCCTTACTTAAAATAAAATTCATAATGTCATTTTTACTCTTGATAAAACAAAATATTCTATAAGCACTCTAACTACTTTTCTAAATAACTCGTAAAATCCTAGAATACAAAAACCCTAGAATCCCTAAAAATGTTACCTGTTTTATTTTTAGGGACTCTAAAAATAAACCCTAAAATTAAAAGTAAAATATACATCCTTTGAAGTTAAATAAAAGTAAAAAATAAGAATAATTTTGTCCCGCGTCACCAGCAATGGCTGGAAGTGTTAGTTATAGACCATGAAGCCCAAAGAAAAGTAATAAATGCATTGGAAAATCACAATGGATTGCATTATCCACCAATACTACACTAAATGCTTGCAACGAAAATGACAAACAAAGAATATGAATGAGAAAATAAAAATTTGTGTATAAGCAAAAGTGTTACCTGGATCTAATGGTCTCATATTACAGCCACCATTTAGTAAGATGTGCAGGTGTCCAATGAAATGTAGCCCATTTTAAAGAAATACATAATACCAAGAGAAGAATGGGAACTGATGAAGCAATTGTTTCTCAAATGAGTAGTCCTCGGTATACAAATTCATATCCTTTTTATGAAGAATTGTTCTGATCCATGGCATGTAAAATTATTCATTTGTAGAAACAGGTATCTAATTCATTCAAACTATGATCGAGTGCAAGGAAATATTGCAAATGAATCCAGTCAAGCAAGAAATTCAAACCTAATTACCAAATAAAAGCCAACAGATCAGGCTGGTAACTGGGAAGCAGAGTTGTATAATTTATAGTTTCATCAGTTTATATTACAAAAAATTGCTACTATAATCCAGTCTCAAATACGATGCTTTGTTCATGAAAATATCATTTATTGTTCAATTTTAAACTATGGACAAACGTAAAATTATAAACCATTAAAAAATCTACTCTTACCAAAATATTCATGAAATGTTACCTGTTTTATTTTTCGCATTTCAAACTCCTGCCTAAATTGGTTAGACTCTTCAGTTTGCTGAAAGTATTCACTCTCAAATCTCCCATCTAAGGAGACGTCCAAAAGGTCAAAAAAAAAAAAAAGGAGCAAAAGAGTCAAATTGATTAAGGAAACATCACACATAGGAAAAGTAGAAGCAACCGAGAGCAATGAAATAACACAATATCAATTGAATTTAGAATTTTTTTGCTAAGCACACCTGACGAATCAATTTTTATTTCCGTGAGAGAAACTGAAGTTCCCCAACTGCCAGTTTTTTTTGCTCCAGCTGCTGTTCCATCAGGTATTGCTTCAATCCTTTCTGACAGTGCAATGACAAGATCACCCCGAGTAGCAAGTTCTTCTCTGGAGAGCCCTTTAACCTGTTAAGTTAACAAGTTCGATTAATAACATAGGCACACCCGAAAGAAGGTTTGTGCCAAGGAAAGACCAGCATGTTGGTCAAATAACAACATGAAGAATACAATGCCTACTGCAAAATTTAGTGGAGTTAAGTTTTGGGAAAAACTTGCAGCATTTGGAAAAAGTAAACTTGATGAAACAAATTGCAAGCCAACCAAAGAACACAAAAGGATTTTTTTTTTTTGGCCTACAGTGAACCATGAAAAAGAGAAGCAAACTAATTAAATATTATAACAACAAGGCAATCGCCAACCATATAGCTGCAGGACACAAGTGTCTAAATGTCAATTAAAGGGATTATTGTGACAGAAAGCAGAATGCTGTACTAAATTTGCAGACAATTTGAAGAAAACACTTTGCAGTAAAATGATACTCTCTCAGATACTAGGAATATCGCATCCACCAAATAGGAACAGGAGCAAACAGCTCTCTAAGTAAATCTCCGTGCACTTTAGAAGCACTTAAAATGTTTTACAAAAGGCACATAACAACATAGTGCACACTTCCACACATGTGCAAATGTGTGTGTGTTGCACATGCATTTGTGCATGCATGCATTCATGTGCTCTGTGCGTAAATGTGATGCAATGATTAAGTTGAAAACCTCTGACATCTATTTCCATTATCTATTCAGCTGCACAGTGCATGGAGGAAAATAATAGCACGATATCTACAGTGCCCTTCTATGCAACAAACTAGCTAATAATTTGTATACAACAAGATTTATGTTTAATTTCATGTTACAGAATTCGTAGAGGCAATTCAGTATTAAAGAAGAACAGGCTTACTAACTAGATCAACTGAGGATTCATTATCCATATGGATGGCAGAATCGGGTCTGGTCAATGGTGGTTCGCATGGATGTCGAAACGTATAATTTCAACAACCAAGGATTAGTTGTCCAGGCACTAAAAAGGATTGAATGAAGTCACACAGTGACCTCATGAATGCAGAAACATGATGTCAGATTCTTTATTCAATTGTAGTCAACAGGATGATCAGAAAGTACTTCAGTCATAACTTTTGAGTAAAGGTGCCCTTTATGGCACCGGATGATGGACTTTGTCCCGTTAAATGATGAAAACTTTAGGCAGCTTCCGATTGTAAAAGGTGGACAAGAGGTGACTCATCGCATTCATTATGCAAAATTAATTTGTTGATTGGTGAAGTATGTGTTTAAAATGCGGGGCAGTAGGGTACTGCTAAATATCTCAGAGAAAATATTAACGTGTTAAGAGAAATCTTAGGGCTGCCTTAGGTCTTTGTTAAGAATAATTTGAAATGTGGGTTGGGGAGCTTGGGGGCAGGTCAGTTTGCGTTTGTAATCACCAATAAAATACACCTAAGGATAGTTGGTTTTGACAATTCGAAGATAACAAAATCTAATTTCTGAGAACTAAGATTTACATCAAGTGGAGCTGAATTGATAGGCAATAATGATTATCTTCAAAATAGGCTTTAAAATATAAATTAGTGATATGGTCCTAGAACCTAGGTTAATATAGTCACCCCAAAATTGAATTGTCAAATGAGCTTGAAAATGTAAGACATGAGTGATTTCAAGAATATGACGATGTTTGCATTCAACAACACCGTTTTGTTACGGAGTAGCAACACAATTGTGTTGTCAAGGGATACCATTTTCTTGAAAAAAATTCCTCATGTCTTTAGAGAAAAATTCAGAACCGTCATCAGTGCGGATTTGTTTGACTTTGCAATTGAATTGTGTGTTGACTAGAGCAAAAAAATAATTTAAAAAATTTATAGTTTCTGATTTAAAACGCATTAGGAACACCCATCCATGTACATCGAGACAAGTCATCGACAATAGTCAAAACATAATAAGCTCCAGAATGAGAAGGTGTGGAGTATCCACCCCAAATATCACAACGTATTAATTCAAACGGTGCAGTGGAGGTAATGGTACTAGAATGAAGTCATCGACAGATATCACAATGATTTGAAGATAAACTAGAAATTTCAGAAACAATCTTCTTCTCTCTTTTTCTTTTTGAGAAGTTCACTGCAATTTCAAAAAGAGTCTTAGATAAAGAGTTTATTCTTCCAGAAGAGACAAGGCCTAGTCGCCAATGCCAGACATCAAAACTAGCCAAGTTGGTTGACATAGCAATTCTCGGAATGTCATAAACATGAAAATAATAGAGACCACCATGCTGTTTAGCCACTCCAATCGTAATCTTCTTGTATTGGTCTTGAAAAACACAAGAATCATGAGAACATGTAACAAAGCAAGGTTGAGAAGATGTGAGTTGCTAATAGAGAGAAGGTTAAAGGAAAATGAAGGAACTCATCAAACATCATGGATATGGATATGTGGACTAAGATAAACAGTACCAACATGAATGACTAGTGCAAATGTACCATTTGGTTACTTAATAGGTGAGAGATGAATTTTTGATATAGGAATGAAACAAATTAAAATAAAAAATCATGTGATTTAATGCACCAATATCCACAATCCAAGAATGTTTAGAGATAAGAAAGTTGCAATAGAAGGTGTTACCTGCAAACTTCAAAGATGGTTGTGCACTACCTTCTTTTAGCATGGATAAAAGTTAATGAAATTGGTTCGAGGTGAACTGAGCAGTAGGATTTGGTGCCGAACTGTGCTGAGGTGGGTTTCGACCGGGCTGGTATAATGGCTAGGGGGATAGCCATGAAAGACATAACATTTGTCATTGACACGTCGGGTGGGGGTGGCGTCGGCCGCAATTCTTTCCAAAGCTGCTGGCTTCACGTGTAGGGTTAGAGACCCCAATGGTTGCAACAAGTGCGCAGTAGAATCAAGAGGAGGGGCTGCAACAATGTGTTGTTTTTCTTCCTGAAGCAAGAGTGCAAATGCTTTGTTCATGGAAGGGAGGGGTTTCATAAGAAGAAGTTGCCCTTGGATATGGTTTTAGGAGTCATGAAGACCCATAAGAATTGGATTGGTCTCTCTTGTTGTTGGTACTCTTGCAAGAACCACAAGAACAAGGTGGTAGAGTCATATAAGACGAGTTCATCCCTTAAGGTTTTCAATTTTGTGAAATATGCGTACCACAGACATGAAATCTTGAACACAAAGAGCAATATCCCGACGAAGTTGGTATATCTGAGGAACATTGTTTTGAGCAACATGCTCATTCAAATTTCTTGGCCAGTTGAGGCATAAATGACACTGCCGGAAATGTCACAGGAAAGAGAGTTGAGAAGCCATGACTTAACCCATGTCGTTACATCTCTTCTGAGTGGAAAAGCTCGCAGAGGTAGGAGATGGAACAACCATGGAACCATCAATAAAACAGATTTTATTTTTGGCACTGAGAACAGTCCTCATGGCGCGATTCCAAGTTCGATAATTGTTCCCAATCAAACGCTAGGGAACTAAAGCAATTCCTAGATTATCCGAATGATGCAAATAAAAGGGACTAGAAGCATCAATAACAACATCAATGCCTTGGGATGAGTCATTGATGTTGGACTTCGTTTGATTGTCGTTACTCATGGTGCCAGTAAAGAGAGGTGGCAAACTTTAGTAGACACAAAAAAAAAGAAAAAAGAAGCAAGGTGTACCTAATGTAGGGAAGCAAGAGAGGCTGCTGAGAAGGCTATGCGAGGCAAAAGAAGTTTTTCCTTTTGTAAAGATATAGTTGCAGATGAGTGCAACAAGAATCCTCCAATTAGCAGTAAGAGGACCTTGCTTTCCTTGAAATTCAACAAACTAAAGCCAAGCCTGGCCTCTACGAAACATAAAAAAGAGAAAGAGCATAAAAATTATGGGGATTGTCAATGGTGTTCTAATACCATGTTAAACAGGAAAAACTTTGTTTGTATTTCATTACTTTGAGAGGAGATATATAGAGGTTTTAAATGGTTGTTATCCCAACATCATAGGGATGTGTACAACTTTGACTTTGGTGTACATTTAACATGACTTGGTGTACATAACGTTTGACTTGGTATGCATAACTTTTGACTTTGGTGTACAATTAGCATGATTTGGTATACAAATTTTGACTTGGTGTACATAACTTTTTACTTGGTGTATATAACCTTTGAAGCCGATCTGTCAGGGACTGAGCTTCTAGGTGTTGTGTACACCAAGTCAAAAGTTTGTTATGTACACCAAGTCAAAAATTGAATACCAAGTCATGCTAGTTGCACACCAAAGTCAAAAGTCATATACACCAAGTCAAAAGTTATGTACCACAAGTCAAAAGTCGTATACCAAGTTATGTCAGATGCATACCAATTCTAAAGTTGTAGATACATCAAAGTCAAAAGTTGTATATATCCCTATGATGTTGGGATTATAACCATGTAAAATCTTTATATCTATCTCCTCTCAATGTAATGAAATACATACAACGTTTCCCTATTTAACATAGTATCAGAGCACTGCCAACGATCCCCATAATTTTTATTCCCTTTCTCTCTCTTATGTTTCGTAGAGGCCAGGTTTGGCTTTAGTTCGTTGAATATCAAGGAAAGCAAGGCCCTCTTACTGCAAATTGGAGGATTCTTGTTGCACCCATCTACAATTCTTTGCAAAACGAAAAACTTCGTTTGCCTCACATAGCCATCTCAACAACCTCTTTTGCTTCCTTACATTAGGTACACCTTACATAAGGTCTACTAAAGTTTGCCACCTCTTTTCGACATCATGAGTAACAATCATCAAACAAAGTCCAACACCAATGACTCGTCTCAAGGAATTGAAGTTGTTATTGATGCTTCTAGTCCCTTTTATTTGCATCATTCGGATTATCCAAGAACTGCTTTAGTTTCTTAGCGTTTGACTACTGACAATTATCGAACTTGGAATCACGCCATGAGCATTGCTCTCAGTGCCAAAAATAAAATTTGTTTTATTGATGGTTCCATGGTTGTTCCATCTCCCATCTCGCAACCTTTTCCACCTGGAAGAGAGGCAACGACATGGTTAAGTCATGGCTTCTCA